CGAGGATAGCACATACAGAGGGCCACCTCAATGTTGTGTACTGCTGGGATATTTATAACTGGAGCTATTTGTAGCTATTAGAGCTATTTCATTATATTTTGTAACTTTGTAATGTATTCCAATTTTTCATTTGTTTTAGTTAGTTACTGTTCTTACTACCTTAAAACTGAAGTTTTAATCATTGGTCCCAAGGCTCAGAGAGAGAAACTCTTGTCTAAATTAGAGGCATTTTCACTATGTCCTTCGCTACAAGTGAAGTGTTATTTTTGACTCTGAGCTTGGTTTTATCCCACATATTAAACATGTAACCAAAATTGGATTTTATCATCTAAAAAATATAGCCAGAGTCCGCCCTATTCTCTCTTGGGCCAACGCGGAGATGCTGATGCATGCTTTTATTACCAGTCGCATTGATTACTGTAATGCCCTGCTCTCTGGTCTTCCTAAGAAGAATATTTCAACTTTACAACTTTTGCAAAACTCGGCAGCTCGTGTGCTGACGAAGATCAGAGGGCGGGCCCACATTACACCGGTTTTAGAATCGCTGCATTGGCTCCTCGTGTGTTTCAGGATCGATTTTAAAGTTCTTTTATTGGTTTTTAAATGTCTTAATGGTCTTGGTCCTTCTTATCTCTCAGATCTGCTTTTACCATATGAACCCTCGCGGACCCTGAGGTCCTCTGGTACTGGCCTTTTGATTGTCCCTAAAGTCAGGACACATACCGTACTCACGGAGAGGCAGCTTTTCAGTGGTATGGTCCTCGTCTGTGGAACAGCCTGCCGGAGGAGCTCAGGGCCGCAGAGAACGTACATGTTTTTAAGAACAGGCTCAAGACCCACCTTTTTAATTTAGCTTTTACTTGGCGTTTATTTATTTTATGCTTATTTATTCTATCCTGTTATTCTATTATTAATTTGGGCTTTACCTAATATTTATTGATTTTATTCTTATTGATTTTTTAATATTCTTACTCTATTTATATTTATATTTATATTGTATCCCGTTCTTATTTATTTTATCTTTTTACCCTGTATATAGCCTATTGTGGCATATCTCCAGTGTTTCCTCGGAGGGGGCTCTCTGCACCGGGGCTGTGATCGACCGTGGCTGCTGGGTCTCTAGGGGTCCTCTCAGCCTGGCTGGGGGGCTTCTTTGCCTCCCTCCTGCTGTGCACAGCAGACGGCTCCCTGTTATAGTGTTTCCTCACTTGGCTCATGCGA